AGTTGCAAGGCCACCATTGAATATTGCATTCAACTTCTGGCTGTAGGTCCATGTTGGATCGGATGTTTGATGCGGAATGAGGTCAAGAATATCCTTGAACAAACATGGGTCTCCTGCACTGTGCCCTGCCACAGACTCACACCAAGAAAAGGCCTCCTTGAGTAGGGCAATGCACTTCGGATCACGTTCCTTAGTATAGTGCAGGGAATGTTTAATTTAAAATTACATGACATCATCAATAAAAAAAGAACAACATAAAATAAAAAGGTAACACGGTAAAATGTTCCCAAATAAATACAGTCAAGGCCTCCCACAAACAGACTGTAGGTATGGAGACATGAAAAGGAACCCTGCCACTGTTGTTGATGTCCCGTTCAAGGATTGCACGGCTCATTTCAGCAGTTCCACAGCCTGAGCAAAAGCTGCTGGCGGCATTTGCATTCGCAAGCCATGACTCCTTGGTCACTGACGCTTTCAGAATTTCAGAAATTCACATGAAAAAAACACATAGTAATCCACACATAGAAAACAAACAGGCTATGTGTTCCAAATGTCTGTCAGGGATTGTCGTGGAATCGCTTTGCATGTGATCTCCCACGCTGTCTCTATGCCACGTGCTGCACGACAAAGTGGGTTCCAGTCATGGTCCTAATGGGATCCCACTGACATGGTTGACATTGTTTGACTCTATGATGGCTACAATTTCTATGATTACTATTATTAATGACGGCTCCATTTTTTCATCTATTGTATTACATTATAGTGAAGGAATCTCATTGAAACAGCTCCAGTGCCAGTCTCTCCTCCTGAAAAAACGAACTCTGAGTAGGTGGAAGCTCCTCATCACTCTCTGTGACTGGAGTGTCATCTGGAAGCCTGCCCTCATCGCCAGTTTCCATGTCATCAGGAACTTGAACAGGATCAAAATCAGTGCTCATTGGGTCCAGCTTCAACTCCAACATTGAAGTTGACATGGCAGCACTCAGCACTGACAGCAACCACTGTCAGCTGTAAGAGTGTCTCTGAATCTAAGTAGGTAGTCAATAAGATTGTATAGTAGTTACATGTTCAAAAAATTGGCTAATCTATTTCATTCAATATAATTATTAAATTGACGCGTGTTTTTTGTTTTCTCATGTATTTAATGATCCTTCTGTCAGTTGTGACACAGTCCGTGACCTGGCCACTGACTGGGTTTGAGAGCCTGCACATGTTCATGCATCATCATTCATAGGGAATGATAACGATCCACGTTGCTCCAACCAACTCTTCCCCGGTCCCTGGTCACTTTCCAGGTCAAGTTGCCAGTGGTGGCCCAAACGCTCCCAAGTTGAGAGAAGGACCTGAGCGTGGACACATTAATTGACTAATTGAACCATCTCCTCTACTATTGATATGTGTTGATTTATTTTAGATTTATTGGCAGGTATTATTGGAGGTCACACTGTCACAACTGTGCCTGTGCTGCTTCTAACTATGTTATTCAATAGTCTGTCTCTGAATTGATTCAACACAGTTGCTGTGAACCTTGTACAACTCCACTGGCACCTTCTGAATGGAGCTCCCATCAAAGGATACCTGGGCAGAATCAGAATGGTCACTTGTTTGATCACGTGAGATAAAACAAACACATGCATTCACAGATTTGACAGCCTCAAGTGTCAAGACTCCAGACATCATCATTGGAACTTAGGTATGCTGTATGCCATAATGAGCTGAGATGCCTGAAGGTGAGGGGAAGGCCCAAAGATCTTCTTGGCCTTGTCCATGTACACGACCTTGGTCCATTGGTGTCGGCGGGGCAATGCAACAGGTAGTCATGGGCTGAGACTCCTCAACAACTGGTTTTTACTGAACTAATGAATGGTAAGTAGCCATGTACCAGTTTGCCAGCACATATATGGAAAGCTTCAACTTCTTGTCCAGCAAGCTCTTGGTGATGGTGAAGAACCTTCCGAAGCCATGGGTCATGATTCATTGACTCATGTTGCAGCAATGAACGTCATGTCATTCTGATTCTGTGGTGACTGATGAAGAATAAAGCAAAAATCAAATTGTCATGGATTCAGACTCCAAACCTGACTGAAGGAACATTGTTTTGACAACTTGAGAATTCAGTCACTACAGTTAGCTAGGAACCAACCTTAGCAGAATCAAGCTGGTTCTGGCCTCCCCTTGCGGACGTCATTCAGAACCTCGTATTTGCCCCTCAAAGTAATGATGGTTCGCCTCTTCTTGCGAAGACGATGTGTTTCCATGGAGAGCTCCTCAATGTGTGAATCCTGGGTTTAGTTGTTATATTATAGCATTATCCCTCAATCAAAAGGCTCATAGTGACAGAGAAAGAAACTCATGCTTCTGGACACTGAGCCAAAGTTATGGCTCATTGTGTTGCTATATGTTTATTCAATACATCCGTCGACTCGTCGACTCGACTCGACTATTAATAATTAAAAATAAATGCCAAAGTCTCCAGGAATGCTGCAATTTGTGACAGCACAGCCAGCACTCTATCCTTGAGTGGCTTCCAGGGAGAATGTCCACGACGAGGATCACGATGTTGCCTTGATTGATTCATGCAACAATGTCAATTCCATTTAACTACTCAGGACTCACAAGGTGGACTAGAGTAAGACCCTCAACTGCATTTTTGGGTGCAGTGACTTTTAGTAGCTCACCCATAAATTAACTGATCGAATTAACTAATTGTTTGGACAAGTTGCGGATCTAGTCCAAAGGCTAGAACGGCATCCAGTGAAGCACGTTCAGGAAGAGTTGTCACCCATGGCCTGTCATCATCCTAAGTCAGTCGTCATTGCATTGCCTATTACTAGGCCTAAGTATTGACTGACTGACTGATTGACTCACTCAAGCAATCATCTAGGACTTTGTTGCATTGAATAATTGCTTCAAAACTCATATTCCACACAAATTACAATTCATAATTAACTCAGCTGAACGGCGTCCCGCTCCAGATTCCAAACATTGAGAACATCGCTGTCGGCAGACATCCATTGCAGCGGAAAAGGCTCGCCAGGACGCAGGTTGAAGGACAACTGCTGTACCACTCCTGAACATGGATGTGTCACTGTGTGTGTAGTTGATGGGATGCTTTGGTGGTGGCTGCAACAATTACTCTAGTTACAGTTCAGTGGGCAACCCAAAGTCGTCTCGTGGTCCCTGAAAAAAGAAAACATAATAGGTTACCTTTTGTTTCTGAATCTGAGTCACCACCAATCTCTGGCCAAACAGTGACCTGGAAACTTCCAGTGTGCAGGCACTTGTCCACCACTGAGGACAAAAATTGCCAAGCATTCGTTCTAGCATTGAGCCCCGGTAAATGCCGCACAGTGCATGCCCAGCTAGCTAAAGCAATTGCCATTGACGTGGGGATAGTTTTCTCAACGAATACACGTGGCGCTGACTCGACCTAACTTGGAGTCCCACCAACATAAATGATATAGGGTGAGTGTTGCTGTCAAAATTTCAAAAAAATTGGTGAGGGAAATACATAGAAATACTTGAGGGTTGTTTGAATTGATGATGACAATGACAAGCAACTGGGTTCCGGTTTGCTGCATTGCGACGATGAGCTTGAGCACGGCTCCTGTTGCTCACCTTGAGTGATTCCAGAATCTGCACTGGATGCCCTGGCCAAATTTGATGGTGAATGTCTTTGACTGATTTCAGTCTTTGGTTGAACTGCTTTCCTAAGTGACAGTGACAGTGTCGAGTCGCGTCGAGGATTTGATTTGGCTGGCTTGGAAGTATTGATGCACATCCACCCAAAACACTTCTTGGGCCAAGTGACAGTATAAAATGATTGCATTAAGGCCTAGTGTCTTTGTTTACGCCTTTCCTCATCCCCGCGTACGTGGTACATGTCACTTTTGATAGCCCACCAAAGGTCCATTGCCACCCACTGGCATTGCTGATCAGGGGTCATGGCAGGAAAGACATGGACTGGAAAATTCCGACATGTGACAGAGCGTTCACTCTTCCATAGTGACTCTGTCACCGCAGGGTTTGCAACACCCCCTGCAGGGGGCCTCTCTTGAGCCTCCTCCATCTCACAGTAATGCAGTGGTTGACAGTGCTCAAGAGTGGTCAAGAGTGGTCAAGAGTGGATTAGAGAGACATGAAAATCACTAAGAGTTGTACGAGTGAGTCAAGAGATGTTAAGAGTGCTTAAGAGCAGTGAAGATAGGTTAAGAGTTGATAAGATTAGTTAACAGTAGATAAGAGTAGTACAAGAGTAGATAAGAGTAGTTCAAGAGTAAATAAGAGTGGTTCAAGAGTAGACTATAAATAACCCCAGAGCCAGTTAAGAACGAGAGGGTCCCACTCGAGGGGTCCCCACAAACTTCCTATGATGATATATACGTATAACAAATATAATGTCAAATCGATTCTCATGTGTGATGCACCGTGACACATCTGATCTCGGCAAATCTCGGGTACACTCTTTTGAATCTGCGTCCGAACAAAGGATGAAAAAAGAAAACAAGTGGGGGTTCATAAGCTGAGCAAAGCTCAGCATTGCTAGCGTCCGGGAAAGGTTGGTTCATGGAGCCTGACGGACCCCTTGTTTTACAAACAAGGTTTGAAAAAATGAATGGATTGCATTTGAAAGCAGTTGATCCACATAACGAGTTCATCAAACTCCTGACAAGACCGGAAAACGCCGTCCAGTGCGGTCCAGAGACGTCCACAAGAATGATCATGAAAACGAAAGACTACCAATGTCATGGAATCATGTAGACTGTTGATTGATAAAACCCAACCGATTTGGAGTGTAAAACCAGTTCATAATGGTTCGTATATATGGGGTGTTGTTCATCATCAGTCTACATTCAGAGGATCCATTCAAATCTCCTTTTCAGCTTCACATGTCCGGGGAGGTTCGTCCACACAGGCGCACCTTAACGGGATGGCTTCGGTCCACTCTCTCTCCCCGCCACTGCCGTCACCACCGTTTCCGTCGCCGTCCGCCGAGCGACAATAAACGGTCCACTTACAGCGCGAGCGGCAAGCTTCCCAGTTGGGCTCGACGGTCCTGGACGGCGGAACGGGACAGTCCCTGTCGCGCAGGGTTCAACTGGCTGAAGGAAAGACGTTAACATATTGTTTACTGCTCGTGTTTGAGACACACACACACACCTATACCATCCTATACCTTTTTTCTTCAATGTTTTGTCACTCTTTTGTCACGTTCAGGCAATTGCTCGACTCACGTTCGGTGTTTGCTGGCAAAGCTCCGGACAGAGAAAACTGGACCTCTGACCGAACCAACTGGGCGAGATCCACAGGACCCTGCCTGTGTGACAGGAACATCGAGGGTGGCTCGTATCTGTAGCCCCGTTCAGCACATTCAGTCCTCGGTGTCAGGTGTCAGAAACTGCAAGCACAAAATTGTGAGACATATTGAGACATATGGGCTGGGTGTGTATTTTCTATATATAGTAGTCGGGTGAATAGGTGGTATGAATCGCTCAAGTCAAACTTCCAACCACTTCATCAGGAGGTACACGCCCCAAAAAATACAAACCCATATTGATACACTCCCTGGAATGGATGTGGAGTTCGCCAGCTGTTTGTAGAGGAAAATGAGAAGTAGCCTTCGGGGCCATGCCATCCACGTAACCATGATTATGACAGGGAGTGTAAGGACAAGAAAAATGACTCACTTGCAGTAGTCCCAGGGTCAAGACTGGGAGCGGAGCATGTCGTTGGCGATTCACAGCATCTGCCTGAATTGGAGAGAGGGCAAGTGGGCAAGTCATCTTGAATCAAGAAAAGTGTGTGGTCTTGGTAGAGACCACTTGATCGAGACCTGTCAACAACCAATTTGATGCCTGGATCATCCAATGGGTCAATAGACTACCCTCCACTACTTAGGAACCTCCATTGGAGATGCTTCGGTAGGTTTCTCAAAGTGCAAATCCTCTCTATCGAGATCACTTGGAGGGGAGCACAAAAAACTCACAACGCTGTGGCTTGGGTCAAACATGTGCCAGACTGGAGGACTCCTCCAAAAAGAAGGACTGTGAACATCCATGAACCAGAATCTGTGGATTGTCCCTGTAGACAATTTCACCCCCATATGAAGAGGTGCTTCAATCGACTGTTCAATCGCAAAGCAAGAGTCTACATTGGGTCAATTTCTGTCTATCCTATTGCCAGCAACAGTGGATGATGATGGTTCAGTTGCAGGCCGAGATCGATCTCTAAAAACATTAGTGAGGTTCTTCTTGACCGACGGTAAGAACATCCAGGTAAGCCTGAACAGAGCCAAAATCTAACAACTCGTTTGATCAACCATGAGAACTGTCCAATTCCGACCTCGATGAGAACCGAACACCCGATGAAATCGGGTGCCGAAATTCTCCGGATGCTGTGGGATGCTTTTTGGGTGCAGAAAAGTTGCCCAAAACCACTGCAGATTTGCAGACTTGTGGTTGGTTTTGCCCAAACCAGTGCTCATTCGCTACTAAATGATGTCCCAAATGACCCACATGCCAGGTTTTAAACATGGTTTTGACATGTTCGGACAACAATCCTTAACAAGGAGTCCGTGGTCGCTCCGAGTGACGCGGCTCCCTGTGAAACATGGGGGAGATGGGTACCCCTGGTCGTCCTGGGCAACAGCTAGGTCAGTCGCTCCATCGGCGACGTCCTCGCCCTGCGAAGGAAGCCCAGTCGCTGGGCAGAAGTGCTGAATGTATTCGCCGGCCACGCAGTCCTACGAAGGGTCAGGAGGATGCGAAGCGGAAGAGATCCACTCTCTCAGTTCAAGTTGGTTGGTTGGTTGGTCGATCGGTTGGTCGATCAGTAGGTTAGTTGGGTGATTGGGTGGTTGGTTGGTGTTGCCTGGGTGGGTGGGCGTAAGAATCGTTTTTGGTAGAAGTCGGGGATCAGAATTGAACCTCGAAAGTGATGCAGTGTCAGTCTAGCGTTTCCAGCAATCTGCTTTGAGTTTTTTAAGATCCACCTGGATGATCATGCAAAACGCTGAGACCGAGCAGGATCGCATGGATGTGGCTCCAGAAAGATCCCAGAAAAATCAAAACGAAACCAGCCTTTCCAGGGAAGAAAAATGAAAATAGTGGATCCCTTATCCTAGGATTCCAGCCACCACTGATTGAATAGTTTTTGCCAAACAATCACAAAACCGGGTCAACCCATAATTCAATGGTCTTTGAAGGCCATTCCTTCATGGGTGGCATGAACATGTCGTTCTCATGCGATCGTCCGCCTACGTTGCGAGGGGGTCGTCCCCGAACACCCAGCCAGGATGCCAACAAATGAACGTCATCCAACACCACTACCGCCCAAAGGATTGTAATTACAGGGGGGGGTTCAAAAAAAACACCCTGAAGCATGAAGTTGGTGCGTTCAGTTCTTCTTTTTTTGACTTTGAAGCTCTCCATGGTCTGAGACCGCGAGCTAGATGGTGCTTTCAGTTGCCCTTTTCAAACCGTTTGATGCTTCCAACCCTCCGCCCGTTCCACGTCGCCACGTCCATCCACTCCGGTCTTCCGAAAAAAAACACACTTCGACATTGGTTTTCAGTTAACTCAGTTTCCAGGAAAAGTGGTGCTGGAACCGAAAGGTGAAAAGGTCGGAGCACTTGAAGTGTTTAACACAATGTTCACGTGTCTGCAGTGGCGAGTGTCACGTGGCGCACGAAGAACGACCGAGGAA